AAATTCAGATTCATTTTGTATTTGGATCTTAAAATGAAAATTGAAATAATAATGTCATAGAAATAGATAATTGAATAATTCTTGATATTTAATTATGAACTGATATTGAATTAAAGGTTTTTCTGTTAATACTTATATAGAGAATTTAAAATACTGCTGTTTGAAAGAAACAAAATTTCTTAATAAATAGAATAGTCTTTTGATAATGCAAAATTTGAATCCAAATAGATTAAAAAAAAATGAAAATTGGTCTGACAAAATAAATTTTATAAAATATTAAAAATTTAACATTTTGTAGAAAATACTTAAAAAACACAGCAATAAAGTGATTTCAACATAAGTTCAATTAAAATTGACATTTAATTTTGATTGAATTTATTTCAATAGATAATTTTATGACCCAATAACTAAGATAATTCAGTAAAATTACCTTGAACATTAAAAAAAAATTTTAAAGTTGAATAATAGGATTTTTTTTAAAAAAATCTTATTTAATTATACTTTTCTTTTTCTATCATATGAATTTGTCTTTGTATTTTTTCTTATTCCAACATTGATATTAGGTTCTTAACATATGTATACAGACTGACAAAACAGTAAAGAAGATCCTATAAGTAAAATTCTTCTATTGCATGCCTAAAGATTCACAACAGCATCAAAAATCCTTTAGTTTATAATAGATTAATAGAACAGCAATAGATTTTAAACTTAAGTGTTTATTAATATAAAAGAATGGTATAATAAGTTAGTATGATATTTTAATTCATAATGTTTTTTAAAATTGTAAAACATTAAGTAGTATTTATATTTTGTAGGGTATTCAAATTACAATTATTGTGAAGTGGGTTGCATGTATTAAGAAGTATATTGGTTAAAATATTTAATTTGATTCTGTTTATTATGTTGATTGTTTAATAAAGTATTTTTAATGTATTGTGAATCTTTAGATTTGGTAATACAAGAATTTGACTTGCATGATCTTTACTGTTTTGCTAATTAGAAACTTACCACTCAAATTTTATAAGAATATGTATATAGACTTTGTTTTCTAATTTATTTGAATTAAAATTTAGTGTATTATGTAAAAAATATTTTAAAGTAGCAAAATAAAAAACGGTAACTGCTGAATTAAGTCATATAATAATGATATTGTAGTGAAGTGAAATAATAATAATAAAAAAATCAAAATTATTCATTTTACTAAAATAAAACTATATAATGATCATTTATATTTTTAGAATAAGATGAATTAAGATTTAAAGCAAAAATTCTGTCTTATATTTAAAGAATTCAGATTAGAAATAAAAATATGATTAACAGTTAAATAATAAATAATAATATTTTTTTTAAAGGCACCTGGAAGAGCATTTTATCTACTATGGGTAAATATAATTGGACCATGGATTTTTCAACCTGCTCCCGAAATTGATGAAAAGAAACAGAAAAAATTAGAAAGGAAGGCACGAAGACATTAATTTAAGAATTTGGTTGTTAATTTAATTTGATATTTACTCAGATTAGAAAATTTTCAAATTTGAATATAATTTGTAAAAACTAATTATTTTTGAACTATTTTTTGGACTATTGTTAATTTATTTATATTAAATGAAAAATTGTTTTGATATTTAATTTAAAAAAAATGTATTTTAGTGTCAGTTCTTAATGAAAATATAAATTTCAATTATCTAAATAGTTATTTTACTATACAATAATAATTAGTAATGTAAATATCAAATATGTTTATACGAATTTAATGATTGTATGTGTGTGTATATATTTTATACAGTATATAAGAATATATTGATGGGTGATAACAGAATGTTATCTGTTAATTTTTAACATATAGGTTTTTTTGGCCCTATTTTAAACCTATTGTTAAATATGAATTTATAGACTTAAGAGAAAAACAATTTCATCATAAGATATTTCTTAATTGATGCTAACTGCAAACAATTAAGAAGCTATGTTTGTTTAATTGGTTAGGATAGTTCATACTTTTATATCAATTTGCCATGTTTTTAGAATGTTCTTTGTTAAACTGAAGGGATGACATCGAAATAATATATCAGCATGTATTAACTCAATAACTGAAACTTTTTTCACTGATATGTTTAAATTACAAATTTAAAGCAATGTTTGAAAAATATTCTGGATATATGTTTACAAATATTTGAAATATTTCTTTTAATTTCATAAAACTGGTTTAGTCTAATTTTATATATATAGCAAATTTTCATATTTAAGAATGATTAATTACATGTTAAAAATTGAAACCTTTTCTTTATGTTTGAATTTAAAAAAAAAACTTTCTAATCACAATTTAAAGATATAATATTGGTAGATAAAGGATGGCAAACCTATGGTGCACTGGAAGAATTTCTTTGGCATGCAGTATGATGAAATTTAATTTTTTTAATTTATTGTATAATATTCAGTATAATTATTATTAATTATATAAATAATAAATAGTAAAAAAAAAAAATAAATAAATATAAGAATATGTTACAATAATTGTAATATTTGAACTATTCAATATGACTTATTCTAAAATCAGTGTCAACAGTCAT